AGCCTTTCCTGGGCACGGAGATGCTCCAGGCCCTTGCTCAGCTCCAGGAGCTCCTGTCCCTGCTGTGCTGAGGAGCCAGAGCTGGGCACAGCACCCAGAGGTGCCCCCAGGGCTGGGCACAGGGGCAGGATCACCCCTGACCTGTGGGAATGCTCATCCCAGTGCCCCCCAGGACAGCACAGGCCTCCCTGGCCGCTGGTCCCGCACGGCACCCCGCTGTTTCCCGCGATGTCGGCAGGCGCTGTCGCGACACACGCACCCCATCGCGATAAACCTTCCCGGCGCGCTTCACCCGCACATCCAGCGTCGTCCCCATCGCTCCGTCACGTGACACCGCCTCACGTGACCCAGGGCGGGTGCGCGGGAGCTCCGCCCCCTCCACATCCGGGTCCTCGCTGCCGTCACTTCCCAGCCGCCGACGCCGCTTCCCGCGCGGCCCCGCCCACTGCCCCGGTTGTCATAGCAACGCGCGGGCGGGGTAAGTGACGCAACGCCGTCACCAGCGATGAACTACAGAACCCGGCGTGCTTTGCGCGCCGGCAGCGCCCGCTGCGGGCCGGGACATCGCGTGGGCTGACGGGAATTGTAGGCAGGGCCGCCGCCACCGCCTTACGGGGCCCTTGAATGTCGCTTGTCTCGACTGAGGAGCTGGGCAGGGAGCAGGGCGGTAACAATGGGAGCCCGGGAAAGGCCTCGCTGTCCTGACATTTATCCCTGTGACTATATTGTACAGACACAAGTACCGAAATAAATGAGGAGCGAACTTGTCTGTGCTCTAATTCCACGCGGGATTCATCGCTTTGAATTTCCAAACACGGCCCGGCCTCGGTCCCCAGAGTTGCCCGCACTTGTCCGATAAATTCAGGAAGGCAACGCCTCGCAAAGTTCGCAGTGAGGAATTTCGCGTTAAAAACCTGGAGCACGGAAACGCTCGGTGTGGAAATGTCCGAGTGCTGAGGGAAATGTTTCGGTCTCTTGCAGGTGTGGCCTCAGACGGAATTCCTGTGATTTCAGCGGAACCGGGAGTTTTCCATCGGTGGAATTGCAACTCCTGAAGAAAATCTCTAAAGCAGTAGTGGAGTTCTGAATTTTATTGCTTTCTTAAGTCATTATTTTCACCTCATTCTTCACACATTATTCCCTAAAAGTAGATTTTCTTCAGATTTATATCATTAAAATAAACACAGCCCTGTCAGTGCTGGGAGTACCTGGAAGATGGTTCTGTCCTCCTCACCCCTTCAGTACTGAAACCCATCCACGTCCCTTCCTCCTGCAGTGCTTATGGAAAACTTGGAAAACCCCCTGCATGCTCCTGTTTAAGGAAAAAAAGTGAGATATCAAAGTTGTCCTACATTTCAGGGAAGAGAGGGAAAGTGGTCATTGTAAAATGAAAGGAGCATTTAACCGGGATCACTGAATATTATTGGCAGGACTCAGGTAGCTAATTAGTGTGGGGCAGATAAAGAGGGATTTTTTTATTTTGGTTTTTACCCCACCAAAAGAGGAAAATAAAAGCCTGGCCAGCACAACTGCTCCTGAGCATGTAGATTTTTTTTGTCATCACTTTCTCAATCAGCTGTTTTTCTTGGGAAACTTTTTCCAAGGTACTTCAGTTACTCATTTCTAGGAACTGGAGCCTCGTGTCCAGAAAAAGCTCCCGTTGGTGCAGGCAGGAGCTGCTCCTCTGCCTGGCAACACAGATCCCACAAACAAAGCCAGGGAGCAGCGACTTCCCGAGGAATCTGTGTCCAAATGCAGCTCTGCAGTGACAGCCCAGCACCCTCCGTGTGGCTCTTCTGTAGAAAGAATCCCGGAATGATTTGGGTGGGAAGGGAC